GACGGTTATACGTTTGTGACTGGTGGTTTTCTCGCTTTCCGCAGAAGAAACCAATGAAGAAACAAAACAAAGATTACAATGCCATGTTTGCAGGTAAATTCAATCATATCTTGAAAACGAAAGATATTTACCATCCCTTCAAACAGCTATACAAGATGCACCGAGCAAAATTCAGGAACTTCGTTGTCCAACGCTATCGGAAGACGTCGCATCTGATAATCCAGTTTGTCAACCAAGCGGCAGTAAAATCCAGGAGACCACAGAACCAACACGGATGAAAATGACATTTTCTTCGCAGTCCCAGAATTATCAACTGCAGCAAGCACAGCCGATGGTGATTCGACAACCGATTCCATCAACACCTGTGAAGAAACCAATGCCGATGACACAACCCCCTCGTTCAGTGATGCCACAAATGGCACCACCAGAATCTCAAATACTAAGTGGAGAAACTTCTAATACAGTGATCATTGGTGTATGGTGAGTAAATAAGGCAAACGTTTCAAAATGGCGTATTGCGAGTATGATTCGATGAAATTACTGCATTTAGTTAGTCTTCAACTCTTACTGGACTAATACGGTTGCACTAAAAATATACCGCAGTTCCTCGATAGATTTTTTAGCAACTGGATGCATGAAATTTTTGCCTAGAATGTTAACAAATATATCATATTAACAATATGATCCATTCATGCCTTTTCCAAATATTGCAATGACGACCCGCAAAATATAGCTTCACGCACCATCTAGCGTTGAAAAAGGTCAGCAACAATCATTCAATTACAATCGAGGGGTGCGAATATAGCACTTATTACAAAAGTAAGAGTCACATTATTTTCATTAATTACATTGTGTATATTACTTTAAAATTTGTCTGACATGTCACAGTTGTCATCAAATAAAATAATATGCTGAAATACACTCATTTGAAATATTAAACAAATTTTCATTTGGTTTACCCCTCGTGACGATAAACAAATACATTGGTAGCCTTTTTGGCCACAGAGGTGCATTCATCGCAAAAAATTTGGTTCGCCAGCTAAGCGAAAGAGTGGATCATATTGTTAATATAATATATTTGATGTTAATTAAAATTAAAAAATAATAATATATTTTTAAGGAATGTACATAAGCTACCAAGACATTATCTAGCGAAAGATGTCTAACTTGCTGTCAAGCTTGAATTATGAGTTCTACATAAACTTTCATAACAAATCTAAGTACTTCAGGCATTATATTTTAACTAATGTTGATTTCAAAAGATAATTTTTCAATTATTGCGGTTTCAGAAACATTGCCTACTGATTCAGAGCCTATGTATTGTACAGGAGATGAATTTACTTCGTATCGGATGCTATAACGGATCAAGCAACCATGGATAATCATATTATAACAGGTAAAGGAGAATTAATAACATTATAAGTAAGGAGTCATGCATAAATTACGTCATTTTTTTACCATTACGGTGAAATAATCAATGATAAACGTACAAATAAGGAGCTAGCATTCACTAAATTCTATTTTATCATTATTATTACAGGGAATGGGGGAACTATCAAATACGCGGAGCTCAAGAATGATTTGCAGCAGTTTATTCAAATTACTGTTGAAACTGTCGTGGAGAAATGCTTCGGCGATCTGACAGAAATGAACGTTAAAGATTCCACTAAGCTAGTTTCAGACGTAACCGACGACCCGGTTGAGAATCACATGCGTATTGATAACGAAGTTCAACTGCGCGATTCGAATGTTATGGTGGGAAAAGAAGACCTCTGCAAAAAATATGTAATGAATTCAATTTATTTAGTTAAATTTCATTTCTAATTTAATTTCTTACAGCTCGTATACTTTACACGGATCATTCCACTGAACTCGTACAGTGACAATGGAGACAATGCATGCTATACGATCGTGGATTGTTTGTTTACGAGGCAATTTTGGACCCGCTTCACCTGGACCGGTATCAGTCGTGGGCAAAAGTCAAAACGAGGCTTCAGATAATTCGGCAATGTTTTGCAGTTGTTGGTGAAAATTGTATGTATTGGAGATCCAACATACAGTCAACAGAAATTAGAGGCTTTATGTAGAAACCGCCTATTTCTATATAGTAAGTCTCGAAGCACAAGTAAGCAGTTGCGTAAGTCTGCATGTCGTCCGGCACGCAAACAGAAAAGGATAAAGAGACCGCTTCAAGATGATGAAACTGTAACCAACATCAAACGAGAAGATTATCCAACAGTGCTGAAGAAAATGAGCAAGATTCTCAGGATGAGGCAATGGATCCAGAAGCAAATGCAGCTGACACTGAACACGAAGATGACAATGAGATGAGTATGAGTTCAAATGACAACTCGTTTGATTAACTAATATGCACTGTTCATGCTTCCTTGCATTTATAGATTTTCAAACAGATATGCTATTTTTTTGTTTGTTCTAACAATGGTTGAATTTGATAATAAAGAATCATTCGTGTGTTTTTATTAAAGGAAAAATCCAAAACATAAAACTTATTTATTAAACAATTGTATGTATAAGCGGTATAAATATCACACCTTCAACTCTAGGAATTGCAACTAATTTGCAAAAAATGCAGTCGACATCAATAGTCCGTTTTTCTAAAAATGTAAGTTCTGCTATGTATACGTGTAGATAGGTTTTTCGAAATAGTTCGTTATAGATGAAATAATTTTTCCTTCAACAAAATATCCTAATTTAGTTTTAATCATTTTTGAAAATTCCATTATTTCTTGATCATTAGTTAATATCCACTTATCTTTGAAATTGGTAGAGAGTGTAAATTGTGGTAAAACCAACTTGTTTTTGTTTGACTTTTTCTCGTCTACAAATTTCTGTCGTACAGTTGCATTATCAGATGACTTATACTGCTTAAGGACACTGAATGACTCATATATTTGCATGCTTTCTGTTACACGAGCTGCTACCTGAGCTAATGGATTAGGACCTGTTTGAATCATTTTTTTTTCAATAAATGCAAGTAATTTTCAAATGGATATGCAGAAAGCGTTGATAGAGGACCAAACTTTGCAACCTCGTCTACTACGTGGCATAAAATATGTATGTTACTTGTCATGAATTCAACACCATACAATGATTTGAATTGGATCAACAAATCGTTAAACAGCGATCGTGCAATTTCCAATAAGTTTGAATATCTACTAACAGAGCAAATACGAACGGCACAAAAAAGGATAAGAAAGTGGGTGAAATATTTGTCAGGTAAATAATACTTTAGTACGACTATGCCAGCATAATTCAAAAAGTTTCGATACTCTAATCTTTTCCATAGAGAAACAAAATCCAACGACCTCATTCTTCTATGAATTTCCATGGGAAACCGCACACAAATCAACAGATTTGAAATTTGTCGGTTTTCAAATGTGCTCCATTTTGCGTTCATCGACATACAGCCAGTTCTCCATCCATTAAGCAGTTTATTCATGACTCCCAACTCCAACAGGTGCAACGAATCAGCAACAATAATATCACAGACAAACAGACGTAACTCTTTGAAAAACTTGTTCTTGAAAACATAGTATCTCAAAACATATAACCTCAGTAACGACATCTATCTGGCTTCTCGCGGAAAACAAGCTTGCTCGCTAACTCGTAAACAATATTGCATAAAATTTCTTTAGAATATATAGAAACGTCAAAGTGATCCGATGCCAGCGCTGCGGCGAGTAGTTCGCGGAACTGATAATATTCAAATCAACCGTTAAATGCATGAACGAAGATACACAATGAAGAGTTACGTCTGTTTGTCTGTGATAATATCCTCAATCATAAAGAGGAAGTCTGGTAAGAGGCGTATCACAACGTTGATGATTGAAGTATTCCTTTGCTATAAAAGATGCATCTGATCGTTTTAACGCATTGATATCAGGAAACACTATTGTTCTTGATATTTGTGAATAAGTGCTTTTAGTGGTACATTTGATGCAACCGTATTTGCCATTGAAATTGATCACACCTTTGATAAATGCACGAGCAGGTGTGTCACAGATAAAACATCGTATTATTATCAAAACATGGTTACCATCTATTTCCAAGCCAGATTCCAGTAATTGGAGCAACTCTTCCACGAAGGGATTCAAATACTCAGAGGCGTCTTGGGTTTGCTAGTACCATAGAAAATTCCGATGATGAGCGGCTTAATATCAGGGAATTCCTGAATATTGAACAGGATAGGCCGAAAAATTTTCGGTGAGCTCTTGTAAATCGGAAGGCCATCAATATTAATATTAATTGAAATTGTTAATGGATTTGTTAAATGTTTTAAAACGGATTTTTGGCAAAATTCCAAACCGTTATGCCAATACCAACCGCCATCTTCAATTTGGTTTATATTTAAATTCCGGGGAGTTGCCATTAAGGTTCGCGGATCTTTTGAAGGTTCAGGTACAGGATTTCATTCAAAATTGTAGTGAGGGATTGTAAAGCTGAGTGTGATATCTGAAAGCTCGTGGCCCATTTTCTAATGGAACTGATAAGGTCTGCTTTTTAGTCTAAAATAATAACAAAATATAAGTCTAGGTTAATAATTATTTGGTGTTTTCCTTTTACCTTTTTGTTCTGCATAACCTGTGCGTGAAATTGTTGGGTTTGTTCAGAATATGCATTCTGATCCACCACAAAAGTGTCATCGGAAACGGGATAGATTTCTCGATTTTTATAACGTTTGTAACTTTGACTATACTTTTTTCCGAAGGCGACTGTATGTTCCACTCTTTCTCACAATTTTCAATCTAGTTTTCAATAAAAACTGCTTCATTTTAAATACTCTAACAAGAAACGATGTACACAATTGAGATTCCATTTAACTCTTCGTACGATTTTCCATCATAAAATATACGATTTATTTAAAAAAAAAACCCAACACTATATATCAATCATAATTACGACTTTTAAAATAGAATAATACGATGTTATATACTGAATCGTATCTAAATCACGGTTATTCATGAAATACAGTTTTAAATATACATTGTTAATCGTTCGAAATGATGCGGAAGTGGACAAGGCACGACTACCGAGAACTGACGCGAAGTTCTACCACGAGAAACCGGGACTTTTCCGAATTTCCGAACCGAAAATAAATAAAACTTGTAGAACAAAAATGTCTGATCTCAAATTCACTTTTATTAGAATAATAAGACGTAGTAGCAATCAAAAAACAAACGATATCGGGTAGACAGGCAAAGTTCCTGTTCTTGAAATCTCTCTCTCTCTCACAGTAATTGTATTGCAGAAAAATCAGTCAGGGATGAACTCAATTACAAAACCATAAACATCATCCCGGCCTTGAGGCGGATGCCTCAATTAGTAGGAAGGACCACCAGCTTATGGATTGGTCGCTGGTAGATAGTTTGACCTCTCTTCAGGCTTACGTTACGAACGATGCCGCTACGATCCTGATGAGTAGCAACCACCCGAGCAAGTTCCCAATAGGCAGGTGGCGTGTTCTCGTTCTTCACCAGAACAAGGTCCCCAATCTGCAGGTTGTCCTGGATTTTCTGCCATTTCGTCCGGGGTTGAAGTGTTGAGACGTATGCAGTCCGAAAACGTTCCCAAAACTCTTCGGTAATCTTTCGTAATTGGTGATATCTGTCGAGGCGATTCATTGGTACAGATGATAAGTCCGGTTCAGGAACAAGGTTCAATGGTTGGCCGATGATAAAATGTCCGGGTGTCAAAGCCTCGCAGGAATCAACTGAGTTTGAAAGCGCAAACAAAGGTCGTGAGTTCAAGCATGCTTCAATCTGGGTTAAGACAGTGATCAACTCTTCGAAACTCAAAACGTTGGTTCCCAGCACAACGCGCAAGTGTTTTTTCATGCTTTTTACTGCTCCTTCCCAAATACCGCTCATGTGGGGGGCTGACGGTGTGATGAAATTCCACTGTACTCCCAAACTGCTCACGTATTGGTCTACTTCGGTGTTGAATGCAGCTGACGTCAAAAGCTCCTTTAGTTGGCGGTCGGCACCAACAAAATTTGTGCCATTATCAGACCACAGTTGACTGGGCAAACCACGACGAGCGCAAAAACGCTTCAAAGCTGATATGAAAGTTTTTGATGATAGATCGGTCGCCGCCTCCAAGTGCACAGCTTTTGTTGCAAGGCACACAAAAACTGCTATGTAGCATTTAACGGTTTTCACAGATCGCAGTAGGCTGGCCTTTATTGTGACAGGCCCAGCATAGTCCACGCCAACGTTTTCAAATGTTCGACTGGTAACAGTTCGCACCGCAGGCAAACTACCCATCAATTGGTTTGCTGTTTTAGCTTTCCACCGTGCACACCTTACGCAGCTATTTACCACAGACCGCACCACTGATTGGCAGCCGATTACCCAGTAGTGTTGGTTCAGTGTCGCGATAAGCAGAGTAGGACCAGCATGCAGATTCTGTAGATGCAACATCGATATCAGCTGTAGTGTAAAACGATGCGACTTGGGAAGTATAACAGGATGCTTCATGTGAAATGGCTGGTCGGAATTTTGTAATCTTCCTCCCACACGCAGTGTTCCATCTCCATCGATGAAAGGGAAAAGCGATTTGAGTTTACTGTTAGAAGGAAGTGGTTGACCTTTTCGAAGATGTTCGATATCGCTTCCAAACACCTGATGCTGAGCAAAACGGGCCAACTGTAGATTGGCATCATGAACTTCCAATGGCTTCAGTTGTCCAGTAATCTTCTCAGTTCCTCGTACCTTCCCTAGTGAGTTGACCTTGAATCTGTACACCCACGCTAGCTCTCGTTGCGCATCCTTTAAAGATGTATTTCGTTTCAGGAGATATTCTTCAACTTTCCAGTCCGATGCAGGTTTGACAGCAGCCGTAACCGCCGAAATTGCTCTTCTTTGCTCCGTTGTGTCTTCCGTAATGTGTACCGCTTCTGTACTTTCCTTCCAGATGCCTTCGTTGTCGTACAGGAGGGACGGACCAGTCCACCACAAATTGTGGTCAACCAGCTCCGTTGGTAGCAAACCTCTAGATGCACAGTCAGCAGGATTTTCACTCGATGATATGTGATGCCACGAACTACGAGGCAGGAAATCTAATATCGCCGATGTCCGATTTGCCACAAAAGTTTTCCATTTCTTGGGATGCGACGTGAGCCATCCAAGCACAACGGTAGAATCCGTCCACGCGTAAAAGGTAACATCCAAGTGATCCAGTGATTCGAGAATCTGCTTCATGAGGTCCACAAGAAGAACGGCAGCGTTTAATTCAAGCCGAGGAAGGGACACTTGCTGAATAGGAGCAACCTTGGTTTTGCTCGCAACCAGCGAAATGCTGACATTGCCATCATCGTCTTTAGATCTGGCGTACACCACTGCTGCATAGGCTGTTTCAGACGCGTCAGCAAATCCATGTAGCTGTACCGCTCCGTGGTGATTTACGATCCATCTTGGAATGCGAATGTCTTCGATTGATGCCAAACTTGCCTTGATGTTGTTCCACTCCTTGTTGATAACAGCTGGAAGTGGGTCATCCCATTGTAAGTCCTGCAACCACAGTGTTTGGTACAGTATCTTGATATGCACAATTATCGGTGAGATCCAGCCCAAGGGATCGAAAAGCCGGGCTGAATCTGATAGAAGTTGCCGCTTGGTGTTTGGCTTGTCGATGTCGAAATTCAAACGGAATCCGAAAGAGTCTGTGGCTGGATACCAATGAATACCCAGTGCTTTTACTGCATCCGCTTCTGATTGTAAATTAACAGGGACTGATGGTTGAGCCTCGAGTTGAGCAGCGTTTGCATTCTCGTCCAGCAGCCGGGAATCATTTGCTGACCACTTCCGAAGATGAAAACCTGCTTCCGATGTAATTCGAACGATGTCTTTCTTCAACGTGAGTGCGTCTTCCAATGTTGCAGCGCCAGAGAGGAAATCATCAACATAAAAGTTTTTCAGCACTCGATCAGCTGCTACTGGAAACTGCGCACGGGAATCACGGGCAGCTTGTCGTAAGGATTCGATAGCCAGAAATGGCGCACATGAAGTCCCGTACGTAACTGTCAGCAACCGGTAATGTTCAATGGGTTTATCGGCTTCCGCTCTCCATACAGTACGCAAGTAATCAACATCGTCTCTGTGTATCCATATCTGTCGATACATTTTTTCCGCATCCGCAATAAAGGCGAAAGCGTAGCTACGAAAACGGGTGAGGACGACAGGCAAGTCCTCGGTGACCTTCGGTCCAGTCAACAGTTTCTCGTTCAAAGAAATTCCGGATGACGATTGACACGAGCCGTCAAACACGACTCGCAATTTGGTTGTGACACTGTCTGGCCGCATGACACCGTGATGTGGAAGGTAGAAACTTTTCTCCGGCGAAACGTTAACCTCGTCGTCTGGAATCCTCTCCATGTGACCAAGATTAAGGTACTCGGTCATGAACTCACCGTACATCTGTTTGAAGCCTGGATCTCGAACGAATCTCCTTTCCATCGCCTTCAACCGCTGGACTGCTGTTGGCATCGATTCACCTAATGTGGGTTTGCTTTCGTCGAACGGTAAACGCACTGTAAATCTACCAGTTTCATCACGTCGATGCGTAGTATTAAAAAAATCCACTGCTTGCTGCTCCTCCTGTGTCAAAGGTTTCGGTCTGTTGACCTCTTCAACTTCCCAAAATTTCCGGAGAACCTTGTCGATGTCCATGTCTATGCTGAGACTGATGATGGCCGTGTTGCAATTCACCTCGCTGGCGTCGAAAACTTGACCGGCAACAATCCATCCAAAAGTTGAGTTGATCGCCACTGGAAGTCCCGATCCATCTTTTACCTTGCCATCTTCCAAAATAGCCAAGAAAACATCAGCTCCAAGAATAATATCGATTCTGCCGGGCTTGTCAAAATGTGGGTCCGCTAGCTGCAATGTTTCCAAACATTTTAGCCGTTCAGGATCCAATCGCTGGTTTGGTACGATCCGCGGGAACTTGGACAGCACATAAGCCTTGACGTTGACCACCGAATTGTAGCAAAAGCGAGAAGAAATTTCGAGGTCGACAACTCCTCTGGTGGTTTCCAATGAGCAGCTTGCGATTCCGGTGACAATCAGATTAGCGTTGCTTCGCTGCAATCCGAGATTGGTCACGCAATTCTCCGTGATAAGTGATGCTTGTGAACCGCTATCAATCATCACTCGTACTTCCTGGCACTGACCATCAATTCGCTTCACTCGTACTAATGCCGTTGGTAGTAGGCCGATGACAACTGAAGAACAGCTGTTTTTGACGTTAGTCGTGCAGGACACCGCTGGCTTGATGTCGACTGCTGCAGAACTTTGCGGCTGCTGTGGTGAAGGCGAAGACGAAACTTGCTTTTCTGACGGCGGGGTCGATGTTAGCTCATTGTTGTCTGCCTTGCACAGCATCGTATGGTGACGTTGTTGACAGTGTGGTGTGCGGCATACCGACTTCGACGGACAGGATTTGGCGCAATGGTTTGGTCTCAGACAATGGAAACATAGTTTCGCCTGCTGCACTCGTTCGCGCCTTTCGTTGACAGAAGATTCCTTGAAGACGGTGCACTCATAAATCCTGTGGCTTTCCGCGCAAACCGGACACGACTGCTGTTGAACTGCATTGAATGTCTTGATTTCCTTTTTCACGGTGAGTTGCTTGCGGTCATCTCTATGAGGTTCCTTTCTGCCGTACTCCGAGGGTTTTCCACCGAACGCTGCACATGTCTCCAACGCTTCACACTTCCTTTTAAGAAACTTGAGAAGATCGACGAACGTTGGGTCGTCATTATCCACAATATGCTGTGCCCACTGAGACCGAAGACCATCATCAAGCTTCTTCAGTACGATGTGGTTCAACCAAGGATCTCTCGTTTCGCAAGTTGGCCCCAGGACACAGAGTTGACGAATTACCTCGTCGGACGTTGACACTAACTTTCGTAAGCTTACAAGATTCAAAGGCCTTATTGCCGGTTGGTCGCAGAACTCCTGAACCAGAGCGGCAACTGTGAACTTTGGTTTGTCGAAGTGCTCAACAAGTGTATCCCACACCTGTTTATAGTTTGCGTCGGTGATAGAGTAACTGCTAACTAGACTTCTGGCGTCACCTTCCAGATGGGACATCAGTAATTGTAGCTTTAGAGCACTAGTTAGGTTTTTATTATCGACGCCGCTGACGAAAAGATCTTTAAAAGAAGCCCACTGCTTCCTGTCGCCTCTGAACACGGGCAAATTGTACGACGGCAACTGCGTGTCGATTGGCTCCAAGTGCTGCTGACGTAGCTGGACAGCCAACCCTTCCATATTCGTTGTACTTGTCGCTTGGCTGGAAAGGAGGGTTCGTTGCGTTTCGAGCAGTACACGGACTGCCTCCTTCAGCTCGTTATTAGGATCTACTACTATAGAGTCACTGCCAGCACTTGATGGACCTTCCTTCACTTGCAGCAGCTTTGTAATCAGTCCTTTCGTTGTGTAGAAAAGTTGTTCGTAGTCCGAACGCACACTGAGCACCAAAGAAAGTTCCTCGTTCGGGACTGCTTCTTCGATTTCAGCTTGAATCCTGTCGAAAGATTCCTCCATCTCGGCTAATTTCCGAAGCCGATCGTGAACCTCGAACGCCTGTGTTTCATGTTCTGCCAGCTGCCTTGCACTCGCATGTACTCTCTTCAGCCTCTCGAAGGCCACGGTTCTTTTCCTGATCAGCTCCTCCATTGTCGCTGATTCACGCCGATCCGGTTCGAAGGACCAATGTTAATCGTTCGAAATGATGCGGAAGTGGACAAGGCACGACTACCGAGAACTGACGCGAAGTTCTACCACGAGAAACCGGGACTTTTCCGAATTTCCGAACCGAAAATAAATAAAACTTGTAGAACAAAAATGTCTGCTCTCAAATTCACTTTTATTAGAATAATAAGACGTAGTAGCAATCAAAAAACAAACGATATCGGGTAGACAGGCAAAGTTCCTGTTCTTGAAATCTCTCTCTCTCACAGTAATTGTATTGCAGAAAAATCAGTCAGGGATGAACTCAATTACAAAACCATAAACATACATAAACAATACATATATTTATGGTGCTAACATATACGAATCTGACTAAAAATATACAGTTTAACGATTTTTTCTATGCAATTATATACGATATCTGGTTGGCTGGGTAGCTGTCATTATTGTTTAAATTAATCATTAATAGTGCATTATTGGAAAAAAATATTTAGAAATTCGAATGATGTCTGATTATTATAAATAATTTCGCTTTTCGCACATCAGCACAAAATGATTTTACGCAATTTTGGTAAGACTTTATTTTAAACAGGACTTGCTATAATGCTGCATATGGACACCATTGAAAGTTTCATGGGTGAGCTAGCATTGAAAATTTGTTTATTTTCAAAATTATTGGAGATAGCACTCTTGCCCCACCTGACCCTACACTAGATTCTGTTTCTTTTTGATTAGTGCCCTTTGAATAATTTACATGCTTCTTACATACATAACGATTTTTTGCGATCTGCCTGGTAAATTTACAAAATTCTGAAAATTTATTTTGTTTTTTCTTCAGTTTTCTGAATTTATAATAAAAATGCTGAAACTTTTTTGTCAGTGACATCACTTGATGTCATGTCATGTCATGTCGGTATTGCATTTTTACCAGCAGTAAAACGGTACTACAATTACTGTCATAGAACAATATTTTAAATTTGTCGAACCTCTTAACGGAATCCCTTTGTGAAAAGCTTTGAGTGTGTTGGTTTATTTCCTTTAAATTCCGTTATAATTGCTTATATTTTCGTTATAATTGCTTATCGACATACTAAGTACAACCTGCACTTTACCTCTCTCTTACGATCGGGTTTGAACAAATAATAGAATGTTTTTGTCAAAGATGACTTCTAAATGTATTTACCTTTCCATACGTACAGTTAGATTTGATAAAGAGTAACAAATTGATGATATATTCATACAAATCTAACATTGCTTCTTGACTCCAATTTCGTCATACGAGATTCAATTCAATAAAGGGCGAAAAGAATTCGTTAGGAGAGCTTATTTTCCTGATGAATGTGGGCGTGTTTTCGAGAAGAATAGATGTAAATATTCTTATTATGCGTTTGGAATTATTTTTCGATCGAAGCAGATTTTAAAAAAATCGTTGTAATAATTAAAGTTACAAGGGTTAAAAAAGATGGTATCCACTTGTAACGATAATCTTTATACAAAAGTTTGTAAATCTAGCATTGTTGTTCACATTTAAGGAAAAAAGTTTGCTTACCAAGTCTCAAACAATGTTGCATACAAGTTCGATAGAATGTCCACGAACGATAAAATCGACCCAATTTAGCAAAAAGTGGATAACATTTTCCAACTTTTTTAGGAAAAACGTCTCGAATATGAGGAAACTCGACGAAAATTTTACTCAGTGTAAGGGTAAGATGGCGTAAAATAGACCCCCGGGGTAATATGAATTTTTGCAAATTTTTAATACATTTTCAATATATTTACGTGGATTTATCATGCAGCATTGCTAGTTTAGATATTGAACTAGAAATATTCTTTAAAAGAACCTCGAAAAAGAGGTGAAAAAGTTATTTTATAGACCGAAATTTAATTTTATCCCATTTTACACTACTAATATTCTGAGTGAAACCTGTAGTCGCTATATTTATAGTCTGGCGGATAGAATTTTGATCTATCAAAAAAGCGGAACCCATTCAATATATTATAGACCAACAATTCTTGTAAAAGTTTGTTGTAAGGCAGAATTACCGAAAGGCCAAACTTCAAAAGGCAGAAAAACAAAGTGGAACTTAAAAAGGCAGATTTTTTTTTTAAATTATAGTCACTCTTGGGTCATTCGTGACTTATCCGGGGTGAGATTTGAAGTCGTGACTTTGGCGTGAGAGGTATTGATCCTAACCACTACGCCGGGGTCGTCCCATGGAAGAATTTTCAAATGAATCCCAGAAGGCCGAATCCCAAAAGACCGAACTCCAAAAAGCCGAAAAGAGCACGCGTGGGCAAGCCTACCTTTGCTCCCTACGGTCCACCAGTCCCACGCGTGCCCTTTTCGGTCTTTGATAGGTAAACGTAATTATTTTATTTCCATACACATTTCATGTTATATTAGATACAATGAAAATTAAATAATTTTTCTATACATATTAAATAATATGAATATCTCTATGACACTACACTATCCATGTTTACTTTGATATGAAAAGAGTTGCGCACTTTTTGTTCGCTGCGGCTTTAGCTATTAACCTAACCTAACCGTTTTCGCTAGAGGCTTCTGAGGCTTGATTCGAAATGTATGAAAGTGATTCTTGTGAGTTTTTGGGCTTATCGCCTACTGATGAAAAGAAAAAGTGATTAATGTTAAATTTGAATAAAGAAGGAAATATGCTTGAAGTGGGAGGATATTTAATTTCGCCTTTTGAAGTAAATATTTTACCTTTAATTTTTTCTGCCTTTTGAAATTCGGTCTTACAAACATTCTGCCTTATGATTTTTTCTGCTTTCTGCCCGAAAATTGGATTTTACATTTAAATAAAAACTACAAGGGACAGCCCTATGGGGTTGTACGCAATGGTGACGTAGGACTACGTGGTCTTACGTAATAAATCTTATTTGTTAACTGCAGCAGGAGCTTGTATTTTGTGTAGGAATAGGAATTTGAGCGGGGTTCTCTCTGTTTATACTCTTTAGAACGACGCGCTTGACATATCCGGAGAACTTTGAGATTTGGGCGTTATTGTTTTTGTAAACAAACACGTCAATTGATTCGCGAGGAATCGGCAAATGACGTGTTTTTTTACAAAAGCAACTACGCCCTAATCTCGAAGTTCTCCGGATATATCGATCACAGCAACTCACGAAGAGCTACTGTTTCCGATCAATAGCGGTACGGCTTCTTCCTCCTTCTATGGATGCTCAGCTCGCTGCTTGCAGGCAGCCTTTCGTTGTGTATTGGAGAACACCACCACTAACCACGCGGTGATTGAATAAACACCATTTGGTGAGACCGGATGGAATTCAACTTTGAAATCTGTGTTAGAGAAATCGATTTGCTCAGGCAATCGGTGATAATTTTAATTATCATAGCAATAGTTGCACATACGTGCAATGACATTTGTATGAGTAATGATAAAGTCTTAATTTTTAAAAGATGCGTTAGAATATTTCTGATCGATTGGTGATAAAATTATTGAAATTGGCTTAGAGACAGCTGAGTTATTAACGTTCAAAGTCTTTCATAATTTTGTTACATGTTCCATTTCTGTTTTTCACAAAGTGTACCCCCATATAGAAATCACAGACGTAGTTCTACGTCAAAATATCGTTGACCCAGATTTATTTCATTATTGGTTTCATGACCCTCAATATATTTCATTATTGGTTTCATGATCCTACAAACGCTGCGTTGATTAAACAATATGTTTTGTTGAAATAATCGTACAAAATGTATTGTATCATAATTTTTATTTTTATGTAACATAAAGTCAGTAAGTCAAGAATAATTTTATTTCATTTCAAAATCCATTTCTCTGCGTAAATAGGGGAAATCGCTCTAATGTTGGCCTATGGATCTAACACTGGGCCCATCGCTGAAAATCTAGATGAACGCGTCATTGGGACGGTACTAAAGGATATTTTTAGTCGCTACTGAAAATTTAGTCGATTGCTGAATTTATGTATGGACTCAAATTAGGGACATTTAGGTCGACATTACATCCATTTTCCCTACGTGGCAGCGAAACCCTTTCGTAAAAATAAATTTGTTGTATCTTTTTTCACCCGAATAATTGAACATATTGTTAGAAAATTCGAAGATATTTTGTCTAACATTCGTTGATGTTTTATAATTGCTCCTCATGACAATATACTGCCGTTTTACGCATAAGAGTCCCACGATGCATAAGGATTGCATAGAACATGGGACAGTTATGCGTATAACGGCAGTATATGTTTCATACGGTAACCGTAGAAGCTCCTGTAAGATTAATATACAAATTATGTTTTGATCAAATCAATAGAATTCCCCACTTTCCCCTAAATAGTTTTCACTTAATAGTTGATAAAGCCTCTCAACTTTGAGTTCAAATTTCCGGATTTATTTATGATTCAGAAAGAAACTAACTATTCGAAAATGCTTTTTTTTTTCTTTATCTGTTTCTGCTAATTATAGTTCTTGCATATAAATCCATTTAACTCCATATTCATTTGTTTTCACTATCCATTAGTTCTTCGTTGATAGCATTGTCATTCTCAATTACTTCATCTATGTCAACAATGTGTAAAGGCAACAGTTGAGCATTTAAAATGAGCCCGTGCATAGCGTGAATAGAATAGAAGGAAAAATAGACAAGTTTTTAATTATGTTAAATCGATATTAATCTTTAACTACAATTTAAAATACAAGTTAATAACATGATGAAATTGATAATACCATTTAATTTTGAGGAAAACAAACTGACCACACAAAAAATTATAACGTCATAAGTCGAAGAGTAAACCAGATATCTGGGAGAATGTGAAAATAAGGCAGCTTTTATGATCGATACCAACTCCATTAGAACTTAAAAATATAAAAAAAACATATAACTAACTTTTTTTTACGTGTAGTGTTGAGAGAACTCTCACACTTTTTCGTCTAGCCCCAGTGTTTGTCGTAGAGTCAGGTATAGTTTCAGTCATTGTAAGAGTTCTTTTTGCATTGGACCTACCATTAAGTTTTGGTTTAGCATTAACAGTAGTAATAGTCGAAACCGTACTCGCCGTGCTGGTAGTAGCGACAGTTACGGTATTACTACAAGTGCCACCTTGACCACCAGTTCGTGTCACTGTTTTGCGTTTCAATGGGAGATCATCATCCGAATCGCTTAACGTTAAATCGACCTAGAAATAACAAGAATCTCACGCTAGGTAAATCGACAAAAAAGAAAGCCATTTAATCTTCTATACCGTGTCATTTGATGGAGTTGTAGTCGACGATGGTTCACTACTAGAGATTGTGCTAGCCTGATTAATACTAGACTTAGGAGGGTCCGTTGTAATCACCTCTGTAAAAAAAAAAAAAAAACAAAATATATTAGTCCAAAAACTAACACAACGCACCATAATGCACGGTGTTTTCTAGAAAAAAAAAATTAAACCAAAAATAACGGCATTTTCAAAACCTTCACCATTTGAAAGTAAAGCTATTTGATGCTGAGGGAAATGTTTAGAACCAGATGTCATAGGAGTTGACTTTTTGATTAATTATGTTACAATATGATTCACCTTATACGGCTAAAAATCTCATAAATAAAGAAATAAAAAAAAGTTAGGAAAGAAGTGTGCGTTTGGCTAGTACTGTCGCGACTATCGCATTAATGGCCCTTCGCTCATTTTCAACTTCTATTCAATTTTCATACTGCCGTACTCTAACGGAACTGTCTAGCTGCTCTCTTCTAAGACCATTATCTAGCTAATAAATTATCACACTAAAGCTTCATGTTAGATAGCATTTCCAACCAACTCTGAAAATCGTAAACTTCGCGTATGAAGTAACACAAAAACACTTTGAATGTAACAACTCAAGGCGGGAGTAACCGTCAACAATGTTAATGATGGTACAGCACGAAACAACCAGAGTCGATGTTATAATAAGAGTCCCGTCAAGAGAAAATGTTGCGAACAATCAGCACTGTTTGTGATTTATTTTTCGTCATAGTAAACGACAACCAGATTTTTTGCGGATGACTTAGATTCATAAGCGAAAACTTTCATGTCGATAACGGAGGTTAAAGAACCTGAAAAATGTTCAAACAAGTGCTTGGTATAACTTATAATTACCACAATGTACTAAATAAAGTGAAGTTATGTTTTTCATCTAAAACTACTAAAATATTGTCAGTAATGAGTGCAATACTTGTAGTTAACTGGCTGTGGGAACAATAATGCTTATTCACTTTGCTTGTTTGGTACCCTGCTTGACAGTTCGATTGGTACTCCTAGCTTCATTCTTGGCGGGACTCTTATTATACCATTGACTCTGGCAACAACCACCCTACTGCTGTCTCTCTGAGATGACTAAATTGGTCATGACGAGAGGAGCAACAAAATAGTTGGGTAAAGAAGTATTTCATTATATTTCATACCATCGACTGGAAATGCTTTCGACAACGTGAGGCTTTATGGGGTGTTTACATCGGGGGCTTTATGGGGTGTTTACATCGGGGGCATTATGGGGTGTTTACATGTGCGGCTTTGCTAGCGCTAGTGTACTAGCCAACTAGCACGAATTTCGGTTGCTCCTGAAATCTCAAATCTGATGCCTTGTTTACATTATGCTGGTGAGCTTTTTTGCTAGCAGCTGGCTCATTAGCGCTAGTGAAATAGCATAAGTGTAAAAACCCCATTAGGTAGTGATGAAACGTCGCTAGAACTATTCCACAGCCACAGACAGTATACGAGCAAGCCAAACGCGCACTTTTTTGTCTTTAGATTTGAAGATATACTTCAAATCTCTTCGTATATCGTACGAGTTAGGTAAAGAAGTGTGCGTTTGACTATTACTGTCGTATTAATGGCCCTTTACTCATTTTCAACCTCTATTCAATTTTCATAATGCCATACTCTAACGGAACTATCTACCTACCATTCTCTACCTAATAAATTATCACACTAAAGCTTCATGTTAGATAGCATTTCCAACCAACTCTTAAAATCGTAAACGTACGTGATGAAGTTACATAAAAGCACTTTGAATGTAAAAAAAAAGTTTCACAGTGATGCGGAAATGTATAGAGTAGAATGTGTTCGTGAGGTCCAGAAATCCCTTGTGGATTTTTCTCAACATCTACCAGCTAACGATGCACATGGTAGATTTTTAAGTAATTTGGTCGGTGCTATATCAGTCAAAAATCAGAAAAACCTCGTCTGTATTGGAGATACCAATGCTCAAAATGGCAGAGATGATATAGATGATGAAAATACTAACGCACACTCCTTTACATAGTTCATTAATGGCCTGTGGATTTGATGTTCAAGCCAATTATATCTCATCAGTTGATACTGATAACATGTTGATACTGATAACATGTTTTCCTGATAAGCATGTTTTCGAAAGCTGTTAAAATACCGTATATAACAAAAAATGCTAGAAGATAACAAGAAAGTCAAATTGTTGCAAGACGGAAGCAATAGATAATA